TGCATCAGCAGTCAGCCCTTCACAACTTAAAACAAACCAGACAACCTTTTGCTGCTTACGTCAAGATGCCCATTTGGATAGAACCATTAAATTGTTATAAAACCAGCATACCACAGCCTGAATAATAAGCAAGGCAAGAAACACTGAAAAGGATTACACAGACAACATTTGCTACTCTCTCTCACTGTTTTTGGGAACAGCCCCTTCACTTGGAAAATAAAAATCCCATTTATACAAACGAATGTTGGTACTTCCTACTTGGGTCCTGGACCCGAGTGGCGTATCACTGAAATACAAAGGGGAATACTTAATGAACCAGCAGAAGATGCTATGCATGTTAAAATTCATTGCCCATTTCCATGTTCTTTAGAAAAGTGTGTCACTCAGTGTGGCCATAAGCCATTACAATCCACAGACCCCTTTTGACTATTCTGTACCCTTACACAAGTCAGAGTTCATGCCAGTTAAAATCTACCACTTGGCAAGCAGAGATTACAGGTTTATCAGACTCAGGCTTTCATTGTTTCAGTCATCGTGATCACAGGTATTTAAATAGACAAGATAAACCAAAACTAATGCAGTTGAATGGCAGTAAGGTCATACATCTTAGACATGCTAAATTAATGGTTCTACCCATAAAGCTTTATTTGTCACCTATATATGGAAAGTTAAAGTATAGAAAGTCTGGATCACATCTAAAATTCAAATGGAAAGGCTGTGACTGACCAAAGTTGTGAACCTCTGTTTCAGTTCAGCTCCTTCCAGCAGGATCATCCATCCTGAGAGGTCATTCACTGTTCACTGCTGACAAATAGTAATTCATATATTTCATTATAAAGTAGACACTGCAAGCATGTCAGATGAATACAGACTAAATTTACTCTCTTAATTTAAGAGGGAGCTACAGTAACAAGTTTAGCCATACCTGTTCACACTGTCAGTGTTTGAAATTAGATTATGTTAATGACTACACTGTTTGAGTGCAGCCTACAAATCCAATAATAAAATAGCTTTGGCAATGCACATCTGAAGGTTAGAAGCTCCAAGTGTGTCAAGTACTCTATCTTGATAACAAGGAAACAACTGAGCCGAGTACCAGATTATGCACTGCCCTAATGCAAGGTCCCATCTGCCTCACCTGGGAAGAAATTCATCATATTGAAACCAGTCACGACTAGAAATTTTCTGCACTACTCTGTTTAGAGTATTTCACAAACTAGTCATTAGAAAGTGAGCAAAAAGAAAGGAGAGGGTATGTATTTGCTTCAGTTTGGGATTACAGTGTTTACAGGCCTAATTCTCATGTTATGGTAACTTAATTTCAAATATACATGACATTTTTCTGCTGTAGCAAAACATTTTGCAACGTGTTTTGAATCACTGTGGAAGGGCTCAACCTTTATGTTTGAGACAAGAACACCTGCATACAATTAATCTAAATAATTGTAGTTAACTTCAGCAGCTTCATGTAAATCGTTTACTTTTCCTCTGTGAGTTCCCAGGTCTTATCTCCTCCTGACCCTATTAAATAAACCTTCATACACCACAAAAATAAGCAGATAATTTTCTCTTGGGAAATTTCATTAGTGGAAACTAGGTATGTTCTGTCACAGTAGCCCTTTTGAAGGAAAAAAAAAAAAAAAAAAAAAGGAAAAGAAAGTCTTTTTCTTTGGGATATACACCATACATTGATTAATTAGGTAAGATCTGATGCATGATAAAAAGTTATCCAAGTAATAATATTCTCCAGGAATTCTGTATCTGCATTGCAACCTTTCTCTGAAGGTCAATGCCCTGGAGAATTCTTTTTACAGTATTATCTCTAGCTATTAAAATTAATGTAATTCCACTTTATCTAAAAAAAGGTAGTAAAATACAAAGCACATCCTAAACTCAAGTAACACTCACTTAAATGTAGAAGGCAATTTTAAATCAATATTTTCAGACTAAAGTCATAAAGCACTACATATAATTAGCTGTATAGAATACAAATCTAAAGAGTGCTTCCAAAGTAAAATGCTATGCTGAAAGGATAAAAAGGTACATCAAATTCTACTTGCAGTGTCTGCAGCAAAAGTCCCTCTTTTGTACTTAGGCCTTAGCTCATTCTAAAGTAATGGGATTTTGCCTCTGGTAGAACTGAATTTAAAAAAATCACACAGGGACCTGAAGCCTTCTCCATCACTCACAGGGGAATGATCAGCCCATTTTCTGTTACAAATATTTCCTTCTAAGAGGGCAGGCTGTGTTACAACACTGATGATAGGATTTGTGCGTGCTGCTGTAATACAGCTCGCTCTCTCTTTCTGCAAAATAACAGTTTCTCATTACCCTTCAAGTCACAGGCTGCTCACACAGGTATAAGGAGTGCTGGCAGAGTCTCCATCCTGCTCGTGCATTTGTGCTGCCTCTGGCTCTGCTGGCAGTGTCAGCTGCACACCATGGTGCTCTCACCAGAGTGCTGTGAGCTCTGCCTCAGAGCAGGGAGCATCATCTGGATATAAACCAGACCTGCTTCATACACCTGCCCACCATCCTGAGGTCCATCACTGCTCACTGCCCACACTAGCATTGCTCTGAGGGGCAGATTTTTCATAAAGTCTACATGGTTGTACAAACAAGTTATTTTTGTGATCACTACAATGAATGCCTTGATATCATAACTGTGTACCCAGATAACAAGCCTCATTTGAACATCTGCTAATGCACTTAATAGGGGAAAATCTTATCCTAAATTCCTGTTTGTGTGATATGGTATTTTCTTAATTTAATCATTTTTCATGCTAACTTTTTGAGACTTTAAGAGCCACTTAATTAGATATCCACTGCTATCACAGGGATGATCATTTCAAGAACTACAAAAAGTAAATCCTTACATTCTGGTGAATTCAGCCTTGAGATGACAACAAAATATATCCATCAAAGTAATTTAGAAAATACATATATTTCATAAACCTTCACACAGAGCAACCTAAAGTTAAGCCATATATTTAAGAGCACTGTCCAAATACTTCAACAGGTACAAGCTTGGGGCCATGACCACTTTCCTTGTTCGAGTGCTTGACCACATCTTCCTTGTATCCAATCTGAACTTCCTCTGATGCTGCTTTAAGACATTTTTATGCACATGGAACATTTGCTAATGGGAATCTGTGGCACAATGGGCCCCTTTATGTTCTTTTTAAGTGAAAAACTGCCAACTAACAGAAATAGGGATCACTTTAGCCAATTTAACATTGTCTGGAAGGCAAAAGTCATGCCAACTGCATTTAGGAATAATGAGCATGTATTTAACAGTGATAATCATTGACATAGCCACTAGGAAAAACTGTGCATTCTTTGCTGTTTGTAGGAGGACTCATGTGACAGAGTGTAAAAGCTCACAGCATAGACATCCACATTTAGGTTAAGTACATAGATTTCCCTTACAGACAACTGAAAAAGCACACATTTTTAGGGTGTGATTCATCTCATCCTAGAGTAGACATCTAAACTAGGACAAACTAAAGTAGACTTCCCCAAAAGTCCTTATTGCAATAGTTTACAGAGTAAATGTATCCATGTGAGAGGAATCCTAATCTTTATAAACTTTTAAACAAATCAGAATATTCCTCTATGAAAGATAAGGTTTATTTTTAAGCACAACTTCCAGGTTAGGTACAAAGGTAACAACATTCTACAATGTCACCATCTCTCCTGCCCTGAAATCTATTATACCTAAAACTGAAGACAGAGCAATTAAGAAATGATGATGAGCATCTCAGTCCCTCTGTTTTCAGTTTAAGTATGATGAACCGATTTTTTTCTTTTGAATTCTAAAGGAGGTTTATTAGCACTTTTTGAAAATATTTGTTTATTCACAGTATTTTATTCTTCACATGTCGTCAGCAATGTCTTTATAGTCTTCCTTTTACAGGTTTTATGATGCAGACAGTGAAAATAAGAGGAATTTTCTGAAAAATAATGAGTGGCAATGAAAACAATCACAAAAAGTGAGTCTCAGAGTAAAACATACACCTTAAAAATTTCCCTACAGTTGCAGCAATGACTCAAAAGAAAGTGCAGACATGAGAAGTTGCTGGAAGACAGCCCTCCCAGCACATACCAGCGTAGTTAGCACATATTAATTTGCTACAGTTATTGGAAAAACAAATAAAATCAATCAAATATATATATATATTTTAGTAGGATTAAATTAACATCTGTTTGAAATAGTTTTACATCAAAACTGAAAATGTAATGTCTTCTGGTATCTTCAGTCTTTTAATGCTTATTTTGTGTTCAGTGAATGTTCACATGAAATTTTAAAAAGAACTTTCTTCAAGATCCATAGCCCAACATACTTTTTTAGAATGGTACTCTTTTGAATATGTTGGTGTAGGGCTGTTGCAGCTGGAGACAAAATAGGTCACACGAACACAGCTCGAGGTGTGGTGAAAGGAAGAGAGAGCTTTATTTCCTCTCTCAGAATTTATAGGTTTCTGACCATGGCCAGGGATTGGATGGTCAGGATGACACCTTCCCAACCACACTGGCCGTGAGAGATGTCCATCACAAGACGTGTATCAGAAAGAATGTACACATATCTATGTTTACAGTTACTGTCCTGGGAAAGTCTTTAGAGAACTATGTCAGCAAGCTCAGAAAATTGAGTTTTCAGGGCGACATAGGACCAAAAGCAGGAGAACAGCAGAGGAACTTGAAAACGTTACAAAAGGACATCTGGTTTCCCTCCTCCTGCTACCTCCTGTACCAAAGTAGGGGACAGAAATGGCATAGCATGGGAAGGAAGCACATTAACAGTGTTCAAAGAGCAGGCAGTCTACAGATTCTTCTTCACACCGATTTGGGAAAGAGGCACGTGGCCCATTAGAGCTGCAGATACAGTGATGCAAGTGTAAATTCTCTAGCAATAAACAGATATCTACCGACAAAACACAACTAAACGAACCAAGTCCGCGTATCACTGACTAGCTGAGAATAAAGAGCAAAGGGGTTACCTTAATAGGGCTTCCATCTGGAGTGAGAACCTCTTCTGAAAGCTCCATCATCTTCAGTGACATCAGGGCAATGGCTTTGGCATGACTAAGGCTTTTCTTATGGAGCCCTGCTGCAACACAGTACGCATCACCTATTGTTTCCACCTGCAGCAATCAGACAAGCCAAGTGTTACGGTGTGATAGCGAGAGGGGAACCCTGCCATTAGGGTAGCAATCAAATAGTGTTGCTTAAAACATGTCAGCAAAACATCCATAAATAAGCAATTAGACAAAAGAGCATAATTACTTGAGTCTGCAAACAGGTGCAGTCAAAACCTGACATGCAACAGCATAGTGGCTTATCAGCATTACAACCAAAGAAGATTGTCTAGAACAGTGTGTGGCATTAGCTGAGATATGACAACATTCTCCCACAGCAGTAACACAGAAAATTGCATTTTCCAAAATGAAAAATCACTTGCAGCTTCATTTCGTACTATCCTGGCTGAGTTTAATGTTGGGTAAGAATAGTGCTGCATAATTGTAATTCGTAATTAGTATATGATATGCTAGAAAATTGTATCAGGAACAGAATTAGAAAAAGCAAAACATCACCATAAAAAACAGTGAGGACTATCTAACTTCTCATTAGTGGGCAGCTCCTCCTGGTATAATTTACTAACAGATGCTATTGGTACAGACTTGACTACACCTTTGTCCCTTATTTTCAAATAAGAATTGATGTCTCTATCATGTAGGCTATCTTACTCTGGATTCCCTACCTGCAAGCATGAAGTTCAGCAGACTGATCCCTCTGGTATCTTCAGGCAGGCCTTACTGCTCTCTTACCCTGATTTTCTTTAAAAAGAGCTGGGCCCCAGGAGGAATTGGGAGCAAAATGAATTGCAGAAGCCCTCTGGCTCTGGGTAAAGGCAGCCTGAGAAACACTGCAGCCCTCAAGGTCTGCGGCTTTATTTACAGCATTGTGTTTTGCAGTCTGTTTGCTCACACATCTGTAACATTCTCACACAAAATCCATTAACATGAGCCCAAACAGACCTCAAGGATTAGTTTAGATTTTGTGACATAACTAATCTGGCTTTCACCCTGCACACAACACTACAGGAATGCTTCAGCAAAGACTACAGTGAGAAGAAAGCAAGCACTAAGAAAGGAGTTATTCAGAGAATAAATATAGCTATTTTCTTCTCTCTGCAGAGAACCTACTAAGCAGTAGGCAAGGATCTTCCCAGACTAATTTCCAGTCTTGATAAATTGGAAATAGCATCTCAATACAAATAATACCTGAAAAAGTAAGCATTACACATAAATGTAATTTACGTGATCCTAAGCATGATCCTAGAACACAAGTATGGGAAAATACTTCCCACCACCAAACTTGATCTGCTGCAAGCCCACTGTGAAGTTTGCCACCTTAACCTTTCTGGCTGACTGTGCAGGAGACTGTAAACACAGATAAGAAGCTGAAGGTTTCTCATGAGCTGAGACAGCCATTAGAACTCCTTCAACACCTTTGAAAGCTCCTAATAGCACTTGTATATAGAAAAAACCATGTAGGAGAAATCAATACTGCTGCCTGCCTGTTTACCATATCTCAGGATGTCTATCCACAAGAAGCAGACACTACCAATGCCCTGCAGTTTAGGAGTTTGTTTTTCCAAAGATAAATGGATGGGCAAGAATATTGCAATGGCTGGTGAAAAATGTAGAGGAAAATGTGAGAAAAAAAATAAACAAGCACAGTGAGAAGAAGTATCAGAAGTTAAAAAGTCAGTCTGGACGAAATAGATGTTTAAAAATGCTCTAAATTGGAAGGCAGCATTAGCAGAAATCCATTGTCATTCTTCAAAATCATGAATAAACATCAGTAGGAATAGACTCAAAGGGGTTACTACAGAAAGGGCTGAGTCTGTGATGTCAAATACAAAAATTAAATACAAATTCTGTTCCTTGTTGAATGACCTAATTTTAGGATTCCTCTTCCACTAAACTTGGTTGCATAGATCTGGGATCATATACTCTTCCTGCAGTGTTCAGACAAAACTACTTATTTTGTTAGCTTCTTCCCTCTTGGAAATTTCCATAGCTGTAATTTAACAGCTAAATTCCAGACACTGAATGCACTGTACTACCAGAAAAATGGGACTGAGGCTGCCTCGAAATAATCTTTATATAAAAGTAAAAATTATAATAATGCTATTTCTCCTTAAAGTGCTTGTCCCTATGGAGTTCACCTGACAGGAATTCTGGAGAACCAGAGGAAAAACTACGACTGCTGAGACTGACTTAGTAGTTTAAGCTAGATGTGATGAGTATTGGCAGGCCTGCCTAATGAATTACCACTCTGCAACCCTGTTTTCAGTCACTTCTAGGATTTTCCCCAGTTAAGCATTTAAGCTGAAATTTTCATTATGAGTACCTCCACCAAACTTTAATCTTCGTTCCATCTTTCTTCAAAATCAGATTTGACAAATCTTCCAAAAGTTCCAGGAGTTCTTGTAATTCAGATTGTTCATGGCATTTTCATTTGGTCCACTTGGATGGAGTCATAAAATCATGGAATGATTTTGATTGGGACATTTCAAGATTATCTACTTTCAGCTCTCCTGCCATGGACAGAGACACCTTCCACTAGACCGGGCTGCACAAAGCCCTGAAGTCCCATCCAGCCTGGGCTTGAACACTTCCAGAGATGGAGCATCCACAGTTTCTCTGGGCAACTTGTTTCAGTGTCTCAACACTCTCATTGTGAAGAATTTCTTCGTTATATCAAATACAGTCACTTTTGGCTCATAACCAATGACTGTTGTCCTGTAACAATAGGCCTTGGCAAAATGTCTCTCTCTCCATGTTTCTTATAAGCACCATTTATACATCAAAGATCACAACAAGATCTTCTCTTTTCCAGGTGGAACAACCCAACTCCCTCAGCCTGTCTTTACAGGAGAACTGCTCCAGCCCTCTGGTCATTTTTGTGGCCCTTTTCTGGACTCACTTTAAGACATCCATGTCATTTTTGTACTTAGGACAAACCAGAGCTGGATGCAGCACTGCAGGTGGGGTCTCACCAGAGCAGAGCAGGAATCACCTGCCTTGACCTGCCAGTTCCATTTATTTTGATGCATCCCAGAGAATGGTCGGCTGTCTGGGCTGCAACTACACATTGATGGCCCATGCCTTATTTTTCATTTACCAATATTCACAAGTCCTTCTTCAGAGGGATGTTCTCAATCTATTCATCCACTGGTCTGTATTAATACTGGGGATTGCCCTGACCCAGATGCAGAACCTTCACTTGGCCTTGCTGAACTTCACAGGGGTACATGAGGACGTTAAAATAGAGACTGCAACAAGAGCGATACATCACACTTCAGAATTTCAGGCTGGGCCCCTGAGTGAGTCAGGTACACACAAGGAAGAAGAGAATTTCTCTTGTCTCAGCTGAGGAGTAGCAATTGGATTAGAAATACAAAGCACTGCTTATAGCTAGCTCCAAAGTATCCTCTGGGTAGATCCTGAAACTGTGCATAACAGAGAGCAACCTACTCCATAAATTTTCAATGTCAAAAGGATTAAAAGAAAAGGCTGCCACTACTCAAAGTCTCTAAAAATTTCTGCACTCAGATCTATTTGATACTCTTCCAGATAATGATATACAGCAATGAAACTCCAGAGGAAATCTCTACCATATGATAAACTAGATTCTGAGCTTTTGACTTTGTAATGTGACTTTTAAGATACATTAGTAGTAGTATATTCAATTTTTATATCCTTTCTAGATACATATGCAGGAAAAGATATTTTGTTTTCAGTCTTGTAAGACTGGAATGCCTTACCCTGCTTCTTTAAAAAAGTTAAATATATTCTGTTGGGAATATTAAAGCCATTTTTGCATATGACTGACAGTTTACCATTAATAAGACTTAGCGTTTTTTCTTTTTCTAATTAAATTATAGTTTCCTACTGCTCCTAATAGTTCTAGCTACTCACTGATTGCTTAGCCTACTGTTACCAGCTTTTCATCCCTTTTTACTGATTTATGCTTACCACAGTCAGCTTCATTGGAGTTTTCATTAATTGGGAATTAATACACAGCACCACAGAACACAAGTTGAACTTGGATTTCAAAATTAGACCAATCTCTAAAAACTGCATAAAATAATTTTTATTCTTAACAAACAAATGAAGAATGCAGGAAATACTGCAGCTACTTACAGTGCTACACAAAAGCCTCCTCTAAATCCTTCTGTAACTCTCAAGTCACTGGAACTGTCCAAATGGTTTCCAGTCAGGCCATCAACAAATCCCACATCAAAGTTAATAATTAGTTGAAGTGGTTATGTGTACTCTACAGTTCAGGCAAATTTTTTAGCAATTTATTTCAACACTGCTGAATACTGAAGAGTGATAATGCATGACACTTGCAACAGGAAGCAAATATCTTTTGCATTTGAGAAGTCATATTCTATATACCCAGCCTCTGTTAGTCCTCAGTATATACGGTATGTCTGCTTTAGATGTGAACAGTCATTTTTACAGAAGGGGAACCCTATAGTCTATTGTCTTACAGTCACTTATCCTTAATTCATAACCATTTGAGATGGAATATGATTTGCAGATCAGTTTGGCAGCACAGAAGTCAGAATGTAATTTCTCCAATTCTAAAGTGTCCGGAGAACAGAGAATAATAGATCCCTAATAGATCCCTAGGCAGCTCCAACAGGTCTCTTCCAACTCTTCCAACTACCAGTAGCTAAACCTTGTGTTGTCTTTTGTTATTAAACTGAGAAACTGGAAGTTTTAGCCAAATTATGTTCTGTGGATATAAAGTCAGGGTGTTGTTTCAGTGACAGATTTAAGGGAAAGTGTGATGCACTGAAGTAACCCTGGTTTGCATCCTTCATCCCAAATTCATGAATGTGCAGCAGTAGTTAAGTTTCTGAACTTCTAGAAGTAACAAAGGAACTGAAGTGTCACGCTTCATTTCACAGAGTAATATACATGGGGCAGAGAGAGCATTTTGAAAGTGAAACCTGAAATGGCAGGCTAAAGAATTTTCATCTAAAATACTCAGGAATTCAAATGATCTAATGAGTCCTACTTAAAACCTTTTTCAAAGCACAGCTTGGAAATAAACATAAAAA